GATATAGTAGTTTGTAGTCTATGGTATTCTCTCATTATGGTAGAATTTTGTTCTTTTCATTGCTCGTAGACGTAGGCCAACAACAATTGGGCAATTCAATGAACACATGGTTCTGAATTGCCCAAGAAAAAAGGAAAGGAATGAACTTGGATAGGGACGACTACTCTGACTTACGAATAGAAGTCACACTTCAAACATACTTGTAAAAATAAGAATTTTGAAATGCTATGATCTTACAAATAGAACTTTAACTTGGTGAGTTGTAATTTCTCTTTTCTTTTAAGTTGAATGAAATCTCTAATTCCTCTACCAAATTACATTCTTGTTTCTTGTATTCTTGTTATTGTGACCAATACTTCATATCGTGTCACATAACATTGTTCGGTTCCTAACAAGTGGTATCAGAGCGTACATAATCCTTATTCGGTTTCTAACAAGCTGCTCCGATACCACTTGTTGGGGAAGGGACGAGGTATACAACATGCTATAAAGTATTGATCGCAAACAACGAGAACAAGAGAAACAAGAATTTAATTTGGTAGAGAAATTGAAAGAAAATTACTACAATATTGTGTTCCTTCTAATTCCTTTGCCAAATTAAATTTTTGTTTCTTGTATTCTTATTGTTGTGATCAATACTTCATATCGTGTCGTTAACAGGGCCAACAGTGGCAAGAATTTCCCATGGTTTGGCTCTTGAATCAACATAGTTGAGCACAAACTTGGTTCATTTTCTTGCTGTTTTCTTGTGCTAAAAAACTCTCGTGTGTGTATAGATTGTGCAATTTATGCCTACTGTTTCAATTTCGCAACCTTTGTTCTTCGTTGAAGAAACTCAAAGATCCCTCTATGCGTTCTACAAAATTAAACTCTCTTCTCTGTATAATTTTTTGCAGAATATTTTAATAATTCAAAAGATTCAAGTCCTCTGGCAAATTACTGGCTGGAATTGATCCAAAAATGGCATTTAACTCCTTGAATTTATTTGATAGTCCACGTGCAGTTTGTACTTTGCATCTCTCTATATCAGCGTACATGCCATTTTTAGTGTCTTCTTTATTTTTCTCTTTGTTTTTTTCACTGAAACCAGTTTTTATAATGTTTTTTCTCCAAGGTGTGTATATGTTTTTCCTTAGTTTGAAGATCAGAAATTGTTACCAAATCATGCATATTAGAAAATATTTGTCAACGACAAAAGTCAAACCTCAAATACTTGGGTATATTTCGTAATTTGACAAATTAAAGTCGTAATCTTCGCTCCACCTATGTTGGTCAATTCTGGTAAACTGTTTTAGGGACCAGTTGGAAGAATTTTTAAAAAGTCAAAAATTGATTCTGTGACTAAAAATTTGTTTTTAAAATATATTTAGATGATTTTCTTGAGTACTTTATCCATTAATTTTATATGAAATTATTTTAAAATAACTTTCTCAAGAAGTCTTGCAAGAAATAAAAACATGGTCAAGCAGCCCCTTAGTACACTTTCTATCTCAGAATAAAAATGAACGAGTCGGTGAGAAGAACTTGGTGAATAGACTTCTTAATTTTGAAACTAAGGCCATGTTTGATCTTTACTATTTTCCATGAAATTTGGAAATTATTTTTCAAGTTTCAACTTTTTTCTTGTTTGATAGCCAATTTTTTCTTGGCAAAACATTTCCCCCTCAACCCCCCACGTGACCCCCTTCTTCAGGTTTTCATTGAATTGGTTTTTCCACCACTTTGGTGTAGGAGATATTACACCGATAATGTGCATATTATATTCATCAAGAGCATGCCGTTAGTATGCGTGAAATCGAAACATCATTCGACTTACCGAAATCTGATTTGAGAAGATAAAATAGCGATTTACCGACTTCAAATATAAGAATATAAATTCCTCACTTCCCAATA